TGATATCAATAGCTCATTACAGTTCTGATGAATTAGTTTTTGTGTACTGGAAAAGTGGGCTAAAACATTAGCAAATCAACGAAATGTTCGACAGATTTTAGCTCTCATATCATATTTCTCATACCATTTAAACTCATAAGCAATGCAACCAAAAACTTATTTTCAAATGCAATACTAAAAATACATACATAACTACTTATTTGATGGCTTTCTCTTTTATTTGTATGCATTAGGAATATCAAGAAAATATGAAAACACTTTAAATATGTATTGGTTTATAGCGAAATAATTTAATTTATGATACAATTAATGATCAAACCTTTGATATTTTTGATATTTGACATTTAGTGAAGAAAACATTAGTACAACTTAATACTATGTTCACGTTGAGCCATAAACTCGAGCCAAAAAATTTTCGTCAAACTCGATCTAAACACCACTTCTATTTAGTGTTTATGGGAATGCAACCCTTCACTTGGCAGCACAGTGCAAAAAATTTCGCCGCACTGATGAATTTTGACAGTTAGCCTGTTGCCGTACAAAAGATATAATTAGAAATGGTCCGAGGTCGTTCCGTACACATATTTCTAGAATAAAAACAGTTTAGCTATGCTTAAATCAAAAATATAACTCCATAGAAATTTTCGTGCTGATTTCAACCATACCAAAAGTATTTGCAGCAAGTAAAAACGAAAGAAGATATCAATGGTTAAAATAAAATTTTTTGATTCTTTTCAATATTAATATCTTCTGAACTACATAACCTATTAAAAAATGCCAAAATAAAGGTAATTAATGGGTCTATCACTTGCTGTACATAATTTTTTCCTTTTTATATTTTTAAGCTATAAATACCTTGTCTTAAAAATATTTATACTATATATGTCGAATAAAACGTTTTTAAATTATCTTTAAACAGGCATCAATACTTTTGTGATTGTAAATATGAGAAGTATAAAAGTTTAACTTTAACCTCTGTTATTGGCTTTTGTTTTTATTTGTTACAAATAATATTGGTATCGTTGAAATCGCCGCATTTTTGCTCGGACTATTTCAGTCTAAATCCTAAAAGTAAACTAATAACTGTCAAATTAAACTCTGAGTTTCTTAAACACCCCAATGAGAACACTTGACAGTTCTTCATAAACACAAAACGTTAAACTCGAGTTTATGGCACAGCGTGAACATACTATAACACGAAAACAGTCTTTTAAATGTACATCAACTAGGAACACATATGTGACCTGGTCTACGAAAAGGAGGCTTACGTGCGAAAACTAGTTTTCTGTGAAAAAGCTGTTAAAAGTAAGCAACTCGTTTCGTCAGTTTCTCATTATCTCGTTAATTGTTCTCCGCGCCGGATGTCCAGTAAGTGTTGTTGTTGGTCCAGGAAGTGTTGTTGTTGGTCCAGTAAGTGTTGTTGTTGGTCGGAATATTATTATATATATTATATATATATTTTGTCGTATTTTTACTCTTCTTTCTCTACATTTTTAGTACACTTCTAGGCAAGTTAGGATTTTCTGCTTTTCACCACGTGAAAAAGCATCTCATCTTCCACCCGAATCAACCAAAAAGTGAAAATTGATTTTTTGACACCTAAGCCCCCTTTCCGTAGACCAGGTCACATATATTGTGGTG